TCTATTCTTGTAAATCTTCGTCACAAACTTTATTATTGTACATTTTTCGATTGCCAGTCATTATTTGAACGTATGTCGAGCTTTTTAGGACAGCCAACTTCCTTATTGGATTTGAACTTTTTAAAGTTGCTTTTTTAATTTTTTAGGTTTATAAGACGAAAAAATATGACCATTGATCACGTTTCATTAATCAGTTTTTCTTGAGCTACGTGCATCCAGCCGCATACAAAGAATTTTTGTGTACCTGTACGACTCATTGAACAATTCAAAAATAGTGCGATCAATAGCGCATCTTTAGTTTTCATTGTTTCCTACAAGTTCTACTGACATTTAAATAAATTCATCTTCTTTATTTTTATACGTAATAAATCTTTTCGCTTACACTTTGCACCAAACTCATAAAATATGGCTTGTCAGTGGTTTAACTTTACCTTCACTCTAGTGTAAGGGTTATACTGTATAGTAAGTAGTAATAGTAGTAACATTTATTTGTCTCCAAAACACATAAAATCTTATAGAAGACAAATAAATGAAGAGCCACAGAAGGGTGGCCCTTGTGCGCGGGTAAAAGAAAATACTTATACAGGGTGTTCACTTGAAAACTTCCCACCACGGATTTATCGAAAACCACTGATTAAAAGAAAAAACACTCACGTCAAAACATTTGTTTTAACCAAAAGTACAACACCCTTTTTCATCCTCCGCCTCCAAGTGTCATCCCCTTGCAAATTTTGAATGGCAAGGGCTATAGAGTGATAGCTTGTTTGGAAGGTCTTTCGAAGTCATTTATTTTGACGTTTGTTTTTCAAAATCGGTCGATTCGTTTTCAAGAAAGTTGGAAAAATATTTGAAGGGGTAAGAACCAAAAAGATCCAAGTGCCGTTATGTTTGTTTGGAGATATTCAATGTTAAAGTTAATTGATTATTCTAAAATCTTTAAAAAACATTTCGTATGAGGTTTTTGAGGAAAAGAGCGTACAATATATTTAAGTTTTTTATTACGTTTCACAAATTTTGTTAAATGTTTGATTAAAAAAAACTCGCTTAGACCCCTTGTTTCTTTTTTTTTAGAAAAATATTTTTTAATAAGAAAACTTTAATCCAATAGTACCAAGAAATAAAAAATAATCTTCAAAGTCAGAGTTCAAGATCATCATTATTTTTTTCTTGGACATTTTACTCCATTTCAGTTTCCGTCGTTAGCTTGCTTTGTTTTGCATTTTTCTTCTTTTTGGGTTGATGAGTCATGTTTTGGTAAAAGGCATGATGTATTGGGGGAATAAAAGACAACAGCTGAATAAGGTTCTCCCACTTAGCGTATGGTATATTCAAGACGGCTGGGAAAGGGGTTGGCTTATGTTTTCTACAGATAAACTTGGTCTTCCTGCTTTAAGTGACGAACACTTTTCAGAATGGAAAGAACGGTGAATATTTGGATACCTCGTTGTATCGAACAAAAAGGATAAAAAGTGTTCATGTCTATCCTCTAACCACACGATTTCTCGCCATTTTATATGGTTGCTTTTTCATGTCTTTTTTGGGTCACACATAAGCCCATGAAGGTAATTGAAGTCCAGAAAGTCATTTTTATATATTGTGTATATACTTGAAATTTTTTGGAAGTTTTTATTGTTAAATCTTTCCAATGTTCAAGAAATAAAAATGTTTAATCATAGCTTTTTTGCTTTCTCGATTCGGTCAAAAGAACGGTCACATTCCATATAGGAATGTCTTGACTCAAAAAATGTATGATGTATTATTTTCAAAGTAGTACTTTGAACCAAAAACATAAACAATTTGGAAATGTTCTTATTCTTATTTTGGCCACCACATTGGTCACTGTAGCAAATCAGTTCTTCGACAGGTGGTGGTAAGTCTTTTATGTACTGCAAAAAAAATATTGAACAATGACTACGTAAGTTGTAGCTTTACCTTAATAAGACATGATCCAATTTCTTGGGATCCTGGTTGACCAATGGTCTCATTCCATACATATATAAAGGATATTCCACCAATAAGATCATGTTACACAGAAGTTATACGTCCATAATTGACGTAGATAGTAGACTTTATTTGTTGAAAGTAGCGGAGTTGGAAGCGTTTTCTGTAGATCAAAACATACAACACGAACTTTTTCTGGATTTTGTATTCCATGTTCTATGCCTAATTTCTTGGCATTTTTTACACTTTCCACCTTTCTTTGATGGATTTCCAATTCGACTTTGCTTTTTGTCTCAATTTCCACACTAAACTTCCGAGTAACAACGTGGATCACTAACAATAAACGGTCTAAGTAATGAAAACACTTCAAATGTATATGGTGGAATATGGTCTAAGTACGCTTGGATCATTTTGCCACTACTTAAAACAGCACATCTGTTAACCTAGTTTTTTACAGCTCAATAGATGGCGCAAACATGTTTAAAAATGATTTGGATCGTTTTGCCAATAAATAATTTTTAGTGTTAACTATCGATATCTGTACTTAACTGATTTTTAATTTTTAATTGTCACTTAGACCCTTTTGGTTCTTACCCCTTCATTTATTTGTCTTGATTTATTCAGATAGAAAACAAAAACACACGAAAATATAACTTTTTATTTCAATAAGTGTTCAAAATTTTGCTCGTTATTGGCCAAACAATGATATAGGCGATGTTCGAATTCCTGACGGACATTTTCAAAAACATGTTGTGGGATATCATGGCAGCTTTTGATGATGCGTGGACGAAGTTCGTCCAAACGTTCAGGTTGGGTAGTAAACACAAAAGATTTCAAAAGACTCCACAGAAAAAAGTCTAATGGCGTCAAATCAGGAGATCTAGCAGTCCATTCTATAGGGCCCTCTTCGCCCTATCCATTTATCTGGAAACTCGTCGCCTAGCCATTGCCGAACCGGAAAAACTAGTGAGGAGGAGCGCCGCCTTGCTGGAAATATATTTCAGCCTCATCAATATAGGGTTTCCATCCTCTGATTTGGTTTGCAATGGTTTTCAGTAATAAACGGATTGATGATACTTTCCAACATATCCAAATAAATATCCCATTCAAACATTAATAAACAATGGCCCAATCACTTTGTTTCCTAAAATGCCTGCCCATACATTGATATTTTGGGGGTACTGGGTTGCCCTTCTACAAAAGCATTAGGATTTTCATTGCTCCAATACCAATGTGCATTCATCACTAAAACAGATATTCTTTACATGAATGGTATTATCATTAATCGTTCTAGTCATTTGTTCAAAAAACTCTTGCCATATTTTCATTTTGAATGGATGAAGTTTAGTTACTTTACAGAGCCTAATGAATACCAGTCGCAGCAAAAATTTTGCGTAATGAAGTATTAAGATTTATTCAAGAATGGCCCAAAACCTCAACTTGAGCTGCTTTATTCAAAACTCTCCGAGATCAGGTTTTTTATTCCAACAGATCCAGTTTTAAGTAAATTTAGTAGCAAGGTCCAGCAACGTGACGGCAGTTTGCCGAGCACATTGATTTTGGACACCGTAAATTTCCATCTTTCGGCTAGTGTATAAATCATTTTGGAAGTAAAATCTGAATAAATAAATTAATTGTCACAAAGGTAACTGACAGCAAATTAAATTTTTTCTTTCGTTAAGCAAAAAATAACTAAACAGGTATAACAATAAATACAGTTCGCCCAGGATAGGTGAAGTAGTTTTTGTTAAAGTTGTCCCCTTAACAAATATTTTGACGTGTCTCGGCGCTTTTTCTTTTAATCTTTTAATCTTAAATTTAAATGATTTATTTGAATTTGAGTGAAATTTCCATATACTCGTATATATATATATAAGTGAAGTATGGATTGTACTCACAGAATATGGTATGTCAAAGGAAGGACTAGCCAGTAAAAGATAACCTGTGTGTGTGGCCATTACATCCAATAGCACCAAAACTAAACTTAAGGATCTCAAAGTACAACACTACAGATAATTTAAATATTAGTAATGTAACTTCTGAATTATCCTACGCATGTTCCTCTGATCTGTTTCTTTAATCTGTCCAACAATAAAAACCGTTTCGGCTGCTACTAGTGTATTTTGAATCTTATGGAAAATATCTGCATTACGTGTTAATTTGTACATTCATAAAGAGAATTCTATAGTATATCAAGTGTGTCAGAAAAGTGGATTTTTGTTGATCGATTGGTTTTTGCTTCCAGGTGTCAACGTAAAACAGCCCCCTACAAGAACGTAAACGTACAGAACTTCCACCTGTCCTTCAAAGATGGTTTGGCTTTCTGCGCCCCATTCACAGACACAGGCCAGACCTCATCGACTATAACAAACTCTCCAAAGACAACCCGCTGGAGAACCTCAATACTGCCTTTGATGTTGCTGAGAAATACCTCGACATTCCGAGGATGTTAGATCCGGACGGTAAGTCAGTGTCAAAGTTTGCAGTTTCCTAATTCTGATTTTTGATTCCATTAGTAACTCTGTATGGAAATATGAATAACAAGGTGTATAAAAGAGGAGTATTTTAAATGAAAATTATTACAAAAAATGGTTCTACGTTTCCTGTGGTATTTCCATGTTTCCCGAATTGCGCGGGTCTTGTTGATATATCAGAAATTCTAATTTTCAGATTTTGGGAATATATTTACTAAACTTTTTGATGAGAGTTATTTGAATATGAAGAGTAGGCATTATAATGCATTATTATGATTTACAGCACTCACTCACTCATAATGAAAAAATTGATGAGTTCCCAATAGGCGTTTTTGTATATTTTTTTATAAACTGTTTCCATGAATCAGTGTGAATGAAACAACTTATGATTTTAAATTTTTTAAAAAACAAGTCATTTCCGAGAAAAAAATATCTGCGTGAAATTGTAGTCACGCAGTCACGTAAAACATCATACACTTAACTGTCCAGTCTATTCCTTACATTTATTTTCCAGAGACATTTTTCGAAGTTCAGAGCTTTGACATCCTAATCTTAATCTTGAACGAAAACTCTTTCAACGTATTATAGCTTGAAGATAGAATTTTTGTTTGTCACTCTCCGAGAGACAAATCGTTTAGCTCAGTTGAGTGGATACAGACAAATTAGCATCTGGTTATGTAAACAGTATAGAAGTTCGATAATTTCTATAAACAGTTTTTTCTCACCATTGCCTATTTGAATAGGAGATCCCGTAAATGAGTTTATGTAGTTTCCTATTACAAAGGAAGTTGCTTAATGTCTGACATTAAATTTTTAATTATTGTATGACGAATACAGGATAGGCTGGTTACAACAGGAGCGTGACTGATTTTGAAAATGCTATGCAGTATTTGTTATACACAATTAGAAGGAGAATTGACCATCATAGCTAGAAAAATTGTATTGTTCTCGTTGTTGAATATTTATTTTCTCATGGGTTAGATTACAGCATTTCATATTAGTAACTGAGATATGATCAGTTATTCCCACAATACTATATTTCAAATTGAGCATACAATACAAATCTGAAATCCGTAGTCATGATGCCCTTGAAAAAGTCATAAACAAAACGTGGTATTTGGTATCTCTATTCATACCACCATATGTTTTGAAACTGAACCTACGGGATATCTTCATACTTAGTCCTTCTTACTATTTTATTCATTAGAGGTTCAGCACTAATTTTGTTGCAAAAAGGTAATCAGAATAATGAAACACTAAATTAGACAAGAAACTGGAACTAAATGTGTTAAAATTTTAATAGTTATAGTAAAATAATAAACAGGCCAACATCAAAAAATGTTTTTGAAACTTTTTACTTGACAGCTGGGTTTTGTAGGTGTTGTGAGCTGTAGTGTGAGCCTTAGTTTTTGTATCACCCATAGTTTTGAGCAATTTGCCTTTCATTATATAGTATAAAATCCGTATACGGTGTATGGTGAATTAATGAAACGCTATGTTACATTGAATTAACATGGTTGTATTTACAGTAGGGTACTTAAAGTGATATAATACTGTTTTAGTTGTCACGTGTAAATGGCTTATACTTTCTTTTCGATAAGTTGCTTGCTGTAAGTGACCAACAGTAGTCCCAGATCGTGCTGGTATTCCAACGGCCCTGGTAGCATTTTTCCATAAATTTAATGTCCTGGTGAAAACGCTCACCTTGCTCCTCACTAACATCTCCCAATTTGTTCGGAAAGTAATCAAGGTGACTGTTCAAAAAGTGAACTTTCAGGGCCATCCAACATAATTAGCTACAATAGTAACATATTCTGTGTCTTTTTATTTCCCAAGAACTTTGTAACGACTTCCTTAAAAGATACCATGTGTCTTCTCATTTAAGGTCATTGTGGATTCAAAGTTAACGTCAAACATCATTTTCTAATGTCAGGGTCCTTCTTTCAGTTTTGTTTATGAAAGATGTGAGAACTTTTGGCAGAGATGCTTGAAACATGGTCCATCTTTGGGTAGAGCCTTTACAAACTGTTTCATTAGTCCTAACTGTATATGTAGAGTGGTACGAGCACGTTTTTTGGATCTAAAAGATTTTTGCGTAGAATGTTCTCCTCACCAGATTGAAAGACTTCCTCAGAGACCAGTATTTTCTGCACCAATATTGTTCGCCAGCCCTACTGTGAAAGTGAGATTAAGTTGACAGTACACAAAATATCAGCTGTCAACAGAAAAATTATTCTTGCTTCAGCACGCCTAAGGAATATGTTCCGAAGTGTACGCGCATGCGCATTTTAAAACAATTCGTTCAGACGTAGGGTTTATTTTTAAATGCGTATACGCGTTTTAGTTCTGAACATATTTTTTGACCATACTGGAAAAAACCCCTGTGAATCAACCATTTTAGAGAATGTGTTTCAGCGGTGCTACCAACCTATTCTGCATCCATTTAGACTTAGTTTTTCAATTCTTTTTACGATATAACATCTGTCCAGTTCTTTAAAAATCGCTTAGTTTACTAAATTTAACTATGAAATATTTAAAAGTGAAGAAACGGTGGGTGATACGGGTTTTTAAGTATCATATTTAGTTTCACAGCACCCCCAAAAACATAAGAATAAGTTATTTTCAGTAAAAAACGTTATTTCATCGTTGGCCTGTTTAATTTCAATAGTATTGAAAAATAATAAATAGCACATTCAAAAGATCCACCTATTAGCAGAAAGGAGATGGCTGCATAAAGTTCTTCAGCAATTATGTAACTTTTTTGCTGGGACTTATGGGTTAACAAGATTTTGAATATACAGGGTTTGTCCGGAAAGTAATAGGACTGAGTAGATTTAAAAAAAGATATTGAGCCAATCGTTATAATTCTTTAAAAACTTTCAAAATAGGCTCCTTTTGCGTCGATGCAGCGCGGCCAGCGCGATTTCCAAGCATTGAAGGCATCACGGAAGGCATTCTCCGGAATAGCCTTGAGAGCCGCGGTGCATGCTGCTTAGATCCCCTCTGTCGTCTCAAAATGCTTGCCTTTCATCGGCCTTTTCAGGCGAAGAAACAAAAAAAGTCTGGGGGCCACATCTGGGCTGTAGGGTGGCTGCGGAAGCGTTGGGATGCCGGCCTTGGTCAGGTAGCTGAGCACTTCCACGTTGACGGTTTGTCCAGGAGGAACAAATTCATGGTGGACGATGCCTTTGATGTCAAAAAAGACAATGAGCATCGTTTTCACTTTGGATTTGCTCATTCTTCCCTTTTTTGGGCGAGGAGACGCCGTCGTGTGCCACTCGGAAGATTGCCTCTTTGTCTCGGGATCATACTCAAACATCCACGACTCGTCACCTGTGATTAAGTTATTCAAAATTGGGGTCACTTTCACACATGTTCAAATTTTCTTGGCACACTTCCACTCTCCGCAATTTCTGGTCGTCAGTGAGCACTTTTGGGACCATCTTCGCGCACACCTTGCGCATGTTCAAATGCTGTGTCACAATGTCATGAACCACAAATTTTGGTAAATTTAACATCTGGGCAATTAAACGAATACGTAGTCGACGGTCTGAGTTCAAAACCTTGCGCACACGAGTCACATTATCGGTGTTTGTCGAAGTCGAAGGTCTTCCTGCACGGTCTTCATCAGCGACCTCTTCCCGGCCCTCCAAAAAGGCCTGGTGCCACCGAAACACACAACTTCTTGCTAAAGCAACACCTGGGTAATCCTGCTTGATAATATCAAACGTCTCTACCGCAGGTTTACACAGAATTTAATCGCGTACCTCTGCTCTAACGAACGCTGCATTCTCGGCTTGCACCACTCACAAAAACACGTCGCGCGAAAATGCCTGTCCTGGCTCTCCAAGTGCTCGGAGACAACTGACCAGCCGCTCATTCGTTAGCTAGCCCTCTACCGTATCCAGTCGGTGCGCTCCGAAGTACAGTCATGGGGGAAGAAAATGAGTCCTATTACTTTCCCGACAAACCCTGTAAGATGTATTTCGCAACATTGCCAATGATAAACTTGAACGATTTGCAGATTTAATCAACACTCCCAAGCCTGATGAGCGTGCCATCATGACGTACGTGTCATGCTACTATCACGCCTTCCAGGGTGCTCAGCAGGTACAAGGCAGTGCTGTTTGCGACTTACCCGAGATTTTTTTGCCTTTTTGCTGTTTTTAACATATGTTTTTGCCGCCACACTTTTTTTCCTAATAACACCTGCCAATTTAAAAGTGTGATTTTTGATTTCGACCCAATTTCCATGATTAATGTTTGTTGTTTTAATCCGATATGTTTGCATGCAGACTTACAGAACACAGCAATGCCAGACGAAAGAGCAGTCATGACATATGTGTCCTCCTACTACCATCGGTTCTCTGGTGCACAGAAGGTGATTTTATTTGCTTTTGATTCCACTTTAACCTTTTATGAAAATAACTTTGTAGAAATTAGAAGAGATAGATAAATATGATTTATTGTCTGAAGAGTACAATCACTCTTAATGACAAAGCTAACTTAAAACTAAGCTGTAATATAATTATATAAGTGGATCTTAAGTAGGTGAATTGTAGAACTCAATAAGGTACAAATATGGTTTACATATTAAAAAGTTTTTAAGTTCACGGCGGAATTTCGTTAAATTGTTAATTCATTTGATAGAGCCACAGTCACTCTAACGAAAAAACAGTGGAAGTATCAGAAAAAATATCTCACTCAAGTGACACATGCAATTTGCTCCATTGCTTAACATGCCTTAATGAATTCAATGAACACAAAATGATGTTATCCTAACCTTGTTTTATTTACTTATCCTTTCACTATATCATTTATTGGACAAAACAGTGCTTTTACCATTTTAAAGTAACTAGAGTAACGTATGCAAAATCTGGATGTCACCTAATTCAGGGCAGAATTTCACTTTATGTAGTGTGTACATGTATACAGGGTGTTTTGAAAGCTGGGGCTTTCCTTCTCAGAAACAACTACGTTGTTACAGTTTATTTTTATGGACGACTAAAAATTAACTACATCTGAATAAAGTAAATTATTAGAACGTTTTTTTCTTATTTAGGATAATAATTTTATAGCCGTTCTTAAAAACATCGAATTTCATTTTTATAACAAAACACTTCTCTCGTCTGGTAATTTTGTGGTAGAAAATCGTACTCTACTCTCCATCTCGTTGGATGTAATTTTTTATAATTGCTGTCGCACTTACTATTGTTTCACTTGATCCTTTTCTGGTGCAGGTCCGGATTTGATATTGCAGATATTTCTTGGAAACTAATAACTCGGTTATATCGAACCCTTAGTGTATGTGTTGCTTCAAGAACTCCCTGTATACTGAAAATAGGTTAATTAGGAACAATCAAATTAACGATTAACATATCTATAGGCATTCAATCTGCTTATTTAAGCACTGTTTTGGAAGTCCATGTAGTAGATTCAACCAATTTTCTTAGAATAATATTGCGTTCAAAGTTGAACTATGTGTAGGCAAAAAACGATTTTTAGGTGTAGGGAGCTGTTGACGTTCCATGGAAAATTATGGCTTATCAGCCAAGCAGCTATCATGTCACTTTGCACATCATAATAATGCTGGAAAATTAAAGTTACTCGATGCGTGATCAGCAATAAAGACATTTTTTATGATATTAAGTGTAATCTCATTTTTAGGCTGAAACAGCAGCAAACAGAATCTGCAAAGTACTCAAAGTTAACCAAGAAAATGAAAGGTTAATGGAAGAATATGAACGTCTAGCTAGCGATGTAAGTATATCTATATTTATATGTTTTCCTATTATTAGGGTAAATCCGCATATTGGTCATTATATACTATAGAAGGACGATGCCCAGTGGACAGGCTGAAAACCAGCATAAATTTAACAATTTTACATGTGTTCCCGATTGAACCTTCAATAAAAAGTAAAAGTTCTTGCTATTGTTGTTATGTGTCAAGGTGAATTATCTGCTAGCAGATCTTCATTGCCGTTTCTTAAGCCACTTAAAAATGGGTCGTTTTATACGCTAGTCATTCGTACGGAGTCATCTTTAGGACGTTGTAGTCACCAATTGCAAGATTGGCAAAAAAATAAGAAAAGTTATCATAATCGAATTGAAGTAGATTGAGGATTTTTTAACACATACTTTTTTCAAGCTTCTGGAATGGATCCGTCGCACGATGCCATGGTTGGCATCTCGTCAAACCGACAATTCATTAGCAGGCGTCCAAAAGAAGTTGGAAGAGTACCGCACGTACCGCAGAAAGCACAAGCCCCCACGCGTCGAACAGAAGGCCAAATTGGAGACCAATTTCAACACCTTGCAAACCAAACTTAGGCTGTCCAACAGGCCCGCTTACATGCCCACCGAAGGAAAGATGGTTTCGGTAAGTGCCACTTATGGATTTTCCTGAAACTATCGCAAATCCTGGTTACATATCACATCTTGCATTAATGGCTTTCAATGGGATTTATTATGAATTCAAGATTTATGATGTCTTGAAGTGCCTAGTTAAAAATTACCAGACGTCTTTGTCAAGTATTATTATACAAGTGTCGATATTCTATGAAGCATTTTGGATTTATTTTTCCTAAACTGATTTAAAAACTTAACATTACAGTTGAATGTGAATAAATTACCATCTACAAAACGACGATATCTCAGCTGGTAGGCTACAGCCGTTTGAATGTTTTCGACTGTCCCAAAATGAGTTCCCTTGAGGTGATTTTTCAACCGACGATCTGAACGCACAAGGTCCCAGCTTCTATCTGTCATCGGTTCTTGAAGATGGAGGCCTTCCGTTTCAGTCGCCTCTCTCCCGTCTGAAAATGTCTTAAACCACCGAAAAACCTGGACTCTTGACAAAACACTTATTTCCGTAGACTTGTTTAGCAAGAGTTTCACGGCAATGTGACCAAGCCTGAAGCAAAACCCTGATAGCACACCGATGCTTGAAATTTTTATCACTCACTTTTAGAACATAAAACTGTTTCACAAAAAAATCGCTACGGAGAACCCGATGATTCGGACGAGTTCAAACTTGTGCTGAAGGCGGATCACATGTTCCCCTGTGTCCCCCCAAGCCCGGCGCCTCCAGTGTTTGCGATATGGAACGCTACGTTGCCGATCTCATAACTTAATTTACAGACCTCCTACATAACAATTTTTCAAAGGGTATGCGGTGTTTATAATTTTCGTGTTTTATATAATTTTTTAATCTGGTTTGTTTTAAATTAAATATATGTATTTTACGAGTTCATTATTAGGCATTTTGTGCAACCATGGTTTCAATGTCTTTGTGAATGTATCCTTTTGACATTTTTTAATTTCGTTCCGAGGTTTGCTATGTTTTAATGGAGCTTGATAAATGAAAGATTTCAACATAATATCGTTTTTAGGTGTACTTATGTTCATTTGATAATTTCTGTTCCTAGTATTGTAATGATAATTTTTGTAGGATATGATATTTTTGTTTTGATCTAAGATGATTCTTCCGAGATATAGTTTTTGAATAATGAGAATTTCTGTTTCTAAGTACAGAAGTTCGGTTGAATATATATTTGTAATAGTTTTCATACTCAATTTTTTTGTGAGAAAACATGTAAAATAAGTAACTCTGTGACAAAGTAGATAGATGCCAGGTACATGTGATCTGACAGATTTTTCATAGAAATTTGTTACCACATTTATTTTTACAGGATATTGCGAATGCATGGAAAGGCCTGGAACATGCAGAAAAGGCGTTCGAAGAATGGCTTCTCTCAGAAATGATGCGTCTGGAACGTTTGGAGCATCTGGCTCAGAAATTCAAGCACAAAGTAGGTATTGCTGTTAATTAGGTACACTCCATCCCATTTCATTACCTAAAAATATTTGACCAGTTCTCATTAACCTCCAGCTTACTAGATTGTTTTTAACTAGCTTAAGTGCGGATCTACATTAAGTAAGATACCTCTTCAGTATTGAGATCTAAACTTTTCTTGTTAGTTTGCAATTTACCTTCCAATTTTTTGAAAATATTGCAACTGATTCATCATCACTCCATTTTACATTCTATAGGCAATGTAGTTATCATCATATTTTAATTTTCTGTTTTTTCAGTATTTATAGGCGATACCCGATATCGAAATAGGAATGTATTTATCTTGAGAATGCAGTATTCTCTCCGTTCCGTTTCCAAATAGAGGTTATCCGTTGGTTACATTACAGGCGGACGCTCACGAAGAATGGACCAGAGGCAAAGAGGAGATGCTCCAAAGCCAGGACTTCAGGCAGTGCCGTTTGAACGAACTGAAGGCTTTGAAGAAGAAGCACGAAGCGTTCGAATCGGATTTGGCCGCCCACCAGGACAGAGTCGAGCAGATCGCCGCCATTGCGCAAGAATTGAAGTGAGAGTTATTTTTGATTAGTGTTTATGTTATCCTACCCGTCGACCACGCATATGCGCCAATCTATTTTATAAAAACTCCAGTTGTTTGGCTGTTCCAAATTCTCGTGAAAAATTGCCAACGCGCTCTGCGTGAATGCGAATGATTAGGGGGCTTGTTAAGTTATGACATGTAGATTTTCAAAGTGTTTCTTTTTTTGATTTTTGACGTTAATAAGATCTGTTTCATATAGAAAATATTTGTAGCTATGTATTAGACCCCAAATACGTGATAACTCACGGATGCTAAGACATGTATACTACAAAAATAAAAAAAATGGCTTTGGATAACAAAATAGTCGGTCAAACCCAGTATGAAATATGAATGACATCTAGATGTGACCTTATAATTGAGCTTGAGCTTATCCGTGTAGCCACAGCTTCTATGAAAATTGCCGTTTTGGTAAGCTCTTACAGATAGAGCAGACAAACACTACTGAGGTCCAAGTACAGGTTAATGCTACCAAAAGACAGTGTATCTTGATGAACAAGATGCGTCCTAGCGCTCATCCGTTTTGATGAATGGTTGTTCATTTCGGCCAGCTCTCCGAGGATTTGACATGGCACGAACACAACTTGTCAATAACGGCAGCTGCTGGGAAGAAGCTGGGCTTTTACTTTACTTTTCTCCACATGACTGTACAAGGCCCAGATAAAACCGAACCTTGAGTAGTGCTCAGATGTTTGGGGTGCTGCCCCTCCGACTGCCTTATCCATGCTTGATGCTGTTCAGAGGACGGCTGTCCGAGTGATCGATGACTTTTTAAAAACGGACAGTCTTGGGACCCTTTCGCACTGGCGGCGGCGATTTAGCTCTATTTTACCGCTACGCCAATGAGCTTTGCTCCTCAGAGCTCTCCTCCATGATTCTGCCGCGATATTTGCCTGTCAGACAGACCCACCTGACTTCAGCCTCCCCTCCTAACCGTGTCGAACTTCGTACATTCAGAACTGGCCGATACGACCTAGGGTTTCGAGATTGTGGAACAATCTACATGAGGAGGCTTTCCCTAGTTCTACTAACCCTAGGCAGTTCAAAAAGTATTAACAAACTTTATTAAGCTTCTCATAGCAGCCGCGGCGCCCTGGCATTTAGGTTTCTGCCTGCGTGGCTGCGTCGGTTTAGAAAAACATTTTTAGAAAAAAATCAGCATTATTGGTTGTGGAGATCCAAACCCTATGAGCATTCACGGCAACTTTATTTTGGGATATACACGTCCGTATTTTCCCCTTCTTTGGGATTTTGTGGTTGAAAAGTTAGAATTCGCGTGATATGTATATTCAAGAACGAGCCGACGTATCGATTTCATCACGATCAGTTTTAAAAGAAACAAAACGTAAAAACATGGGCTCTATGTACTATATGCCCAACAATTGTCCCATTTCTAGAAAGATATACTAAATTTTTTACAGTCATAACTGTATAAAAGATAAACAGCAAAGGAGAAATAGTGGAGAGGCTGTTTTTGATGTTTTCCTTGTTTATACAACTGATACCAAAATAAGGTTGTAAATCAGGAAGCAGGAATCTGCTAACCGCCAGTTTTGCAAATTCAGAGAAAACCTCTAGAGAAACTAGTTATTATACAGAATTTGGTTAATTCTCTTCGATGCATAATTATAATTTTTATTATAATTGTCCCAAAAATGTTATGTAAAATCTGCGGTCTTATGTGCACATTGACGCCTGTAGGGGACCAAGGAGACTCGCGATCTTTCCTGTGAATCTGACTGGCCCTTGAAATTTGCTTATTAAAAGCACTGCAGATTTCTATGATTTGGTCCGTCTTCCCATGAGAAATGTTGCTGCCATCGCTCTTGGAAAAATTTTTGATACTGATACACTTTCACAAAATGTTGCCTCTCTCTATAACCGCCCCCACCCGCCCATGTATTTGCATTGGAAATACACCAGGGTCCTGTGATTCCCCTTAAGAATGATTAAATACGAGGTCTGTAAATTAAGTAATGACTCTGTCTTTGTTTAATTTTTCTTATGCAGATATAATTACAGTTTCATGTTGCTCCCCTCAAAATAACATCGTTCTGTAGTCACACAGCACTGCAGACGGTTCTTCCACTCCTCATAACAGTTCTGAATCTCGGATTCTGGAATTGCCTTCAGATAGTCAGATAGTCAGTTACAGCCATTTAAATGATTTCGACTGTCCTAAATGGTTTTTCAATCGGGTGAATAAGGAGGCGGAGGAGCCACAGGAATGTTTTCACTGGCCAAAAACTCCTTTATTGATATGATGAACGGTGGTGTAAGTCAAATTTAACTCTTCCCCAATCATTCTGACTATCAACCGACGATCTGAGCACACAAGTACCCGGACTCGATATTTTCATCGGTTCTTGAAGATGAAGGTCTCTCCCTTTTGAAAATGCCTTCAACCACCGAAAAACGTGGGCACTTGACAAAACACTATCTCCGTCAGCCTACTTTAGTTTAGCAAGAGTTTCTGATGCACTGTGCCCGAGTCTGAAACAAAATCTCATAGCACACCATTTCTCAAAATTGATATCACATGTTCCCCTGTCTCCCCTCCAAGCCCTGCGCCTCCAATGTTGCCAGATCGAAGGCTACGTTGCTAGTCTCATTACCAGACCTCGTATCTGCAAAAACGTCTACAAAAAGTGTTTCTGTTGTAAGTATGCAGATTAATAATCTGTTGCACTTCCAGCACTCTAGAGTACCACGATAGCGCGACCGTGAACGCACGCTGCCAGCGCATCTGCGATCAATGGGACCGCCTGGGTGCTCTGACCCAGCGCAGGAGACAGGCATTGGACGAAGCCGAGCGCATCATGGAGAAGATCGACATCCTCCATCTGGAGTTCGCCAAACGGGCAGCTCCATTCAACAACTGGTTGGACGGAACCAGGGAGGACCTGGTGGACATCTTCATCGTACATACCGTCGAGGAGATACAGGGGCTGATCGACGCACACAATCATTTCAAGGTGAGTTAGAATCGACTATTATTTTCAAGACAAGTAAAATGGTAGGTTAACTCTGCACTACTCACGCAACGCTGTCGTCAATTCATGAGGGATTCGGCACAAGTTAGTCCCTCGTAGAAAAAAGTTGGCTAAGAACATATAACAGGAATGTCAGTCAGACAGGCTCATATAAAAGTACTGACTACTCAGCAACCTGGCAACGCAGCACGGCGATGCATACATGGATATAAACACGGCGCATCATCTCTCAGTGGATCAGTTTTCAGTTATCCCTCCACTTTCAAAACAGACTGAAGTACACCCTCGATGCGTTGTTCAGCACGCGTATAATCAAGAGATAGTAGTTTATTGAGGAAAACGAGTAGTTCACAAGTCTACCACCTCTCTTCTTTCCTCAATCCTCGAAAAACGAGCATGCCTGAAAAACATAGTTACTTTATTTAGGTTTTTAATTTCTAGGCAACATTAGGAGAAGCAGACAAAGAATACCAAAGCATTGTAGGACTGGTTAGAGAAGTTGAAGCCATCGTTAAGCAGCACCAAGTACCTGGAGGTTTGGAAAACCCCTACACAACTTTGACAGCTCACGTAAGAATCGTTGCTTGAAAATACTTGTCAATAAAACATCATCATCATAGTTTTCATTAGGAACTTCCACTAGATCGAAAATACTCCATAATGTAAAGGCCAATGCTACTACTAGTCTTAGCGATAATGGAGATAGTATAGTTAGATTATTTATTCGTAATTTTTTTATTTTAATTGCTTTGTTCTTTATTATTCCTTAGTCCAGTTTTTTAACCAAGTACTGCACTATCATTCTCATCACTTCACTCATCATCATCGCCCTAATGTTCCAAGTAGTAATTTAGATATTTTTTCTCAATTCTTGCCCCTAAATAAGGAAGGCTTTGGTGGTGATTTAGAGGTAAAATGTCAGTGTATCGATGAACTATTATAAACTATGCTAAAACTATGATGATTTTCAGGATTTGACAAGGAAATGGGGAGAAGTTAGAACTCTCGTTCCCCAGAGAGATGCTACTCTACAGGCCGAACTTAGAAAGCAACAGAGTATCCTTTTACTGTTTTGGTCGTATGGCTTAATGAAGATTTTATGATTAAATTCAATCAGTTCAAGATAACATGGAGTTTCTGACTCTCAGAAAATATCAGATATACTGCAAACAAATAAGTGGTTGAATGCTCCCACGATACGTATTGAACTTGTGTGGACAGGCGCAAAAAACAGTTCAGTACTCTCAGAACTCAGAAACTCTTGTTCTTTCATTGATAGGCGACAAATCAAATCACTAATTGATACTGAAGTAGATTGGATGGTTTGCGGATTTGAAAAACAATTTTGGGTTTGTTTGTTTGTACTCATGTCCATGAATGTTTCCTTAACTACTGCAATATAGATAACGAAACTCTTAGACGTCAATTTGCTGAGAAAGCTAATGCTGTGGGGCCATGGATTGAACGTCAACTGGATGCTGTTACTGCTATTGGTAAGAATTTATTTTTTACCGTTCCATCGTGTTTCAATGATGATTTTAGAAAAATAAATATGCACCAAAAAGGTGTTTCCTTGAGATCAACCCAGAAATTGTCTATTTAAAAAAATCATTATTAAAATTGACTTCAGTACATATGGACGGCTTACTGTGCCCTGTCCGATCAAATCCTGTATTCAATCTTCTATGATTTTTACATGATTGTATTTATTTTCAGGAATGGGAGTTCATGGAACACTGGAAGACCAACTGCACAGACTTAAAGAATACGAACAAGGAGTTTATGCTTACAAGCCACACATTGAAGAACTGGAAAGGGTGCACCAGGCTGTACAGGAAAGCATGATATTCGAAAACAGGTAAACAGAATACAAAATTTCAGATGTTATATTTTGAAAGAGTAGATAAGTTGACTCGAGTGCTGTAATACTTCTAATGCGCATTATCATTTTAATCTTTATGTTCGCTTTTTTCAATGCATCCAGTGAGGAAGAGAGGTAAGCATTGGCGAATCTTGTAGTATAAGCCTAATCTTTTTAGGAGAAAATACCCCTGGTTTGCGAAATAATTGTAAAGTCTAGTTTTATTGCTGCAAATTGTTCAAGGGAGTTTTAAACATGGACGCATAAAATGGGTACACCAATTTTAGTAGGAAAACTTTTTATTCGACAACAAGGAATGAGAAAACGTGTTTTTTGGAAGAAAACAGATAGTGTTAGCAGAAACGAAAAAACTCCTATATAAGGTTTTTAGGTATTTATGGGACCTACAAAATGAGACCACACCTAAAAAGATCCGACCAATAGCAAAAAAGTTATGGCCCAAAAGCGAGGCGAACTGCAAGTTTTGGCACTTGTTGGTAATGCGACGATGGTTTCACGCAGGTACTTGAAATTCTTCAAATTCGTACTTCTAAATAACCACAACAAAATTGGAGTAGATTGGTCAAGTAGTTTTTGAGAGTCTCTAATTGTTTAACCCAAAACACCTGTTTTCCGGCCATCACTACTAGTTTATTGAGCAATATACAGGGCTAGTTCAGAGGGCATTTTATAGCAAAATACACTAGTTTACCTTGCCGATATGAATCGTAAACCATTCCGGAAGGCTACGGTTTTTCTTCTAAACAAATTTAAGCATTTCGTATTTGTGAGTAATTCACAACAAAAGATGAGATAGACACATCCACTTTGTTTTAAAATGTGTATAGTAATGTATGTTTTTCGAATATCGTAGCGCATTTGTTTAATTACTCACAAATACGAAATGTTTGAATCTGTTTAGAAGAAAAGAAAAAAAGGAACCTTTGTTTTTCGCATAAAAATAACATTTATCTCCCAATGGTTTGTGATTCATATCGGCAAGATGCACACGTGTATTTTGCTATTAAATGCTCTTTGAATGAACCCTGTATATTGCTCAATAAACTAGTAGCGATGGCCGAAAAACATGTGTTTTGGGATAAACAATTGGAAATTCTCAAAAAAACTACTTGACCAATATAATCCAATTTTGTGGTTGTTATTCGGAAGTATGAATTCTACGGATTTGAAGAATTTGAAGTAGTTGCTTGAAATTATCGTCGCATTACTAAGTGCCAAAACCTGCATTTAGCCTCGTTTTTCGGCCATAACATTTTTGCTATTAGTTGGATCTTTTTACGTGTGACCTCATTTTGTAGGTCTCATAAATACTTAAACATCTTATATGAAAAGTTTTTTCGTTCCTGTCAACACTTTCGATGGAATAAAAAAAAACACGTTTTCTTATTCTTTGTTGTCAAATAAAAAGTTCTCCTACAAAAATTGGTGTTCCCTTTTTATGGGTACATGTTTTAAATACTCCCTTGAACAACTCGCAGCAATAAAACCAGTCTTTATTAATTATTTATGCTAAATTTTCTAATATGAAAATTTATTCTGGATATTCCAATAAACGCCTCTGGAGATAGCATACAAGTATTACATAAGCAGCACTAAAGAGGGACGGGTCTTTCCTTGCTAATTTTTGTTGACATGAGGGAGGAAGGGGGCTTCTGTATGGTGATTACCCCAGGAATATTTATTTTTTACTTTTTCGGATATTCTAAAAATCCTACAATTGTAGGACACCTGTATGGCCTTCTTGCCTTTAATAGTCTTTTCTCTCATTCGGAAAGGCTGGGGTATTTTAGATGTCTACTGTTCCGTGTCAATGGCAGCGCTCTCCTATTCTGAGATTGTTTTCTTTTCAATCTTTAGAAATTTCAGGCTGATAAAACGGATGATAAAAACCAAGCCTGAAATTTCTTAGAATTCAAAAAGAAAATATAACATCAAAATAGAGCGCTGACACGAAACAGTATCTATCTAGAAATACCCCAGCCTTTCTGAAGGACAGAACAAACTATGAAAATCAAAGAGGCCATCATAAAGGCGTTCTAAAATAATTGTAGGAAGGACTGACGACCTTGGTCGATTTTGATTCGGCAACCCTGCTTATCTATGCTGGCTCAGAAAGAACGATGTCGATATTCCAAAATCACATTTACCAAAATTTTAAAAGTACAAAACAAATAAAAGTGAACCATGCCAATAATTTGATTAAATAAACGGCCGCATATCAGTAATGCAAATAAAAAATCAGGATATAGGATATTTTAACATACGAGTTCCAGCTTATCTGTCAGAAATGACACAAATGGTTCGTACCAAGTGCACATGATTACCTCTATTCTCCAACACAGAACCTGTTCCTAGGTTAAACGTGTCCTGAAACTAACTTGTTTTGCAGATACACACAGTACACAATGGAGACCTTGCGCGTAGGCTGGGAACAACTACTAACTTCAATAAATCGCAACATTAACGAAGTCGAGAACCAGATTCTCACCAGAGACTCCAAGGGCATCACACAAGAACAACTTAACGAATTCCGTTCTTCGTTCAACCACTTTGATAAGAATCGCACCGGCAGATTGACACCTGAGGAGTTCAAGTCATGTTTAGGTAATTATTTTATTTAGACAAGGTTTCATTTTCGTTTTTGTTTACATGTTTTTCAAAGTTAGCGAGTCTCAGCGTCTAGCAATTTATACTAAGTGCTGTCCAACATGTACTTTGCGATTTAATGCCACCTTTCAATGATTTGACCTAGAAATTTTACATATTGCTCGTTCAGAGAACTGGCTATTTCATTTTGGAACTTTTTTACGACGAAGAATCATTTAGAATTGTGCAAGTGTACTACGAAGATTCACTCTTATACATTATGAACATAGCGAAACGGTAATCGGTAAATACTAACGACAGGGTTAATCTTTTTATGGGCTCAATACGGGTGTCCGCAAAGTTGGAGTTTTGCTTTTCAGACACAACTGCGCTTGATATAACAAAGCTAATGTGTGGTGAAACGTGAGCATACAAGTAAAAAAAAAATAAAAAATACTCACCGTTCAGTTGAATTGAAATTCCAAGTACGACTCTGTCGTAAAATCCGAGGAGCTTATGTAACAAAAGTAACAAAACAGAGATTGAAACTATGACGTCGGTGTTACTTTTTCTTGGTGAACGTATCATATAAGGACTGTTAAGTTGTTGCCGTAGGATTCAAAATCACATGTGTGTGCTCGACGTAGCCAAGCAACGGTGCAGGCTTTTATAGTGGAGTCTCTTTCCCGAATGAATGCAGCAGCTTGCTCAATTATCAGACGTAATTCGTCAACCGTGTGCACCTCAGTATTATACACTAAGCGTTTCATTTCGCCCCAAAGAAAAAAATCACATGAAGATGTGAAGTCTGGCGATCGCGGAGGCCATGCTACGGGTCCACTACGTCCGATTCATTTAAGAACTCACGCACTTCGCGTATAAAATGGGGCGGTGCACCGTCATGGAGAAACCATATTGATTGTCTTAAACTCAAAGGCACATCTTCTAGCAAGGTTGGTAAAATATTCTGTAAAAAGTCTAGGTATTGTATCCCGTCCAACCGATTCGAGAGAATAAATGGTCCAATGAGCATGCGTTTTACCATGCCAGCCCAAACATTCACCGAAAATGTTTGTTGAAAGTGTGACCGATGGACAGCGTGAAGATTTTCTACTGACCACACATGAGTATTGCGGAAGTTGTTCACCCCGTTACGCGTGAAGGTGGATTCGTCTGTGACTAATGTACACTTCAAAAAGTCTGGATTATTGTTATGTTGGTGCAAGAACCACTCACAAAACCGCACTCTTGCAAGAAAATCCTCAGCTTGGAGGGCTTGTATATGTTGCACGTGAAACGGGTACAATCCCTCATCATGCAGCGTTTGCCACACTTAAGTCTTCGACACTTGCACTTGCCTAGCCACTTCCCTAGTGCTTGTTGAAGGATTCTGGTCTACGAGATTCAGTACTTTTTCCTCTGCTTGCACCATTTGGGGTTGTCTAGGTCTCCCACTGTGCCCAACTCGCCATTCCTCCAAACGACGTATCCCTGTACAAGGTAAACAAATCTACGCGGCCTTCGATGATGACGTCTGGGAAAACGATCTGCATACACTCGCGAAGCTTCTGTCGTATTTCGAAGACACTCACCGAAAATTAACAGCATGTCGACCAGTTCGCTATTGGTGTATAAGTGTGCCATTTTTTTTATTTTTTGAACAGCAATCGGTTACCAATGTAATGGTTTGTTGATCTACACTACCAGCGTCTAGGTTAGGTTGCATACTAGCGTATTTACATCGTAGTCGTACGTCGTATAAGTGTGCGCTGGCGCTGGCGCTGTGGACGTGATCGAGGGATATGACCGGCTCCGGTTTTTTCAAGGTTTGATTGAGTTTGAGGGGGGCAATATCTCGGTTCTCTTAAGACATTGGCGTATATCCTACGAAAATTCGCTTATTTTCTCAAGATCTTCACGTCGTATAAAGGAAATCCCCAACTTTTCGGACACACTGTATAAGTTAGGGCTACGTGCCATACGGTCAGGAAAACTTTGGAACTGATAGACACCTTTCCACTGTCTTTTGTAATAACATGCAACCGCATTCCTCTTGACATTTTTTGTGGGGTTCCTGGAGGGTAAAGTTAAAACAATCCTCATACGACTAATGATGTAACTATTACAGCTTCTTCTGTGGTTTTCATGTTGATAATCCCCCATGTTCCTATCACCCAATCAAACTTCATCAAGGTCACCGTTGGGATCGAAACGTCGTAGCATGAAGAGATATTTAAAAAATATGCGGTTTGATTCGGCCAAAGAAACATGGGCGATTACTAGTGACGACCTAAATAGGGCCGCTTCTGTGGCAAAAGGTTACTGAAAATTTTGGACGAAGAATAATATCTTTTTAGAGGTGTCTCAGACTGTTAAGTGAGTCATGTTTTTTCGCCACTATGAAAATCTTCTCTTCAAAATTCTGAAGATAGATCATCTAGATAGAACTCCGGCCCATACCTAACCCATGTTAGTGTAGTGTGTGGCGACATCACATTGGTTGACACTGGATGCGACCTCGTCTTCCTATCATTAACTGTGTACATTTGATTGCAGTGTCACTAGGCTACTCGATCGGCAAAGACAGGCAGGGCGACATAGATTTCCAAAGGATTTTGGCTGTGGTTGATCCAAACAGCACTGGTTACGTTCACTTTGACGCCTTCTTGGACTTCATGACAAGGGAAAGCACAGACACTGACACAGCTGAACAGGTTATCGACAGCTTCCGCATCTTGGCTGGTGACAAGGTAAGTTGAGCGACTTCTTGGTATTCATCTAATTTCTTAGGACATCACATACTTCTCCTCCTAATTGTAAGGATTCCTTATTTGCCTTGACAGTACACATGGAAATGTGAGAAATGGTAAGTATATTTCTCGACAAAAAAGTTGGCTTTGTTGAATCTGAGGCCTTACCTTACATCGTCGTGAACTTCATGGCTCCCTTGGTCCAGTACTTTCTTCAAGGAATGCAGGAAACTACATATTTTTATTTTTTATGTGTATCAAAATAGTACATATCAAGCATAAAAGTGCAATTGTTAATTTTAAAGGCATAGTTTGTTTTTTGAACCGCAGCTAAGGATCAAATGTGTTTCTTTTATTAATGTCGGTAAACAACTAAAATAGTATGCAAAAAATATGGCACTAAGTAGCAACGTTTTTGAGATTAACTTTAACAATGATTGAAATATTCTACTTAAAGATACATAACTAAATTCAGTATTCCGGTGTTCCAAAGGAGATCTAAAAGATACTGTAGCATCACCTATGAGACAGCAGAATAACAAAAAGTGAAGAATGATATACAGAGTGATAGAATTCTGGTATTCGCTATATGTTCCACACACGGATAAATAAAAGACTCAGATTGATGTAACTCCTAAAACTTATCCTGTGGTTTAGCTACATCACAACCACACAAACATATGTTTAGATTTCAGTTTCTAAACTATGTGCGCTAACTGGAGTACTTTTCAAATCCTTACTTTAAAAAAATCGGAAAAATCTACATCCTGTGATGATCTTTTAGTTCCCATTACTACAAATTTAAATTTTTCTTAGAGGGAGTGTCGGACAGTGCCATTCTGCATAGTGGCAGCAAGACAGATAGTAATGCCACTTTTAATAATTCGTGAATATATTTATTAAATTCACAATAAATGGTCAAACTACCTTCCTTTCCCGCGTTTCCGGCTTGACATCTACTTCTGGGACACTCTGTATACCCTCAGTAAAATAGTAGGCAGAATAAACTTCAGTTTTTATAAAAATTTTATGTCTAATGCTGCGAGTTTTTTTTTCACACTATTGGTGCCTTCGACAATTCTGCCGTATGTACAAAACTTGCATTTCGAGAAAAATGAGTACTCTCGTTTAGGCTCCACACAAACGTACGTACGAATAGGTTTTATAAATGTTGAGTAGTTGCAAGTATGCATCTAAAATCGTGAGGTACATAATTTTAGACTTTAGATTTGTAATTTGTACAAAAACTGTACTTACGTCTTTTAATATTACGACTTGTGTGTCATTGCTACAACTGTTTCAATCAAAAGTACCGTAACTGCGACTCAATCACTCATGTGGTATTTTAGACTAAAACTGTATTAAACCTGCATATTAAACTTACCTAGCAATTATTAACTACATAACATTATCTGGTTTGTATATTTGAAAGCATAATAAGTAGTGAGATGAATATTGTCCAAGTTTACACGCGTTATGTACCATAATGCTTTTAATGGTTTTCAAGTTCTAATTTATCATGTTTGTATGAAGTACCTACATATTTTTTTTCTTACCACTTGATTATATCACGTCCTAAATCGTGTATTATGATCCGTAGGTTGACTAAGATGCTACTACTCCTTGCAAACTGATAATATGTATACACTTTGTTGACTGTAACACAACTTTATTAATAACAGACATTTTTCCAACGTGAAATATGGCTTTATTAGCGCAAAAACAAAACCAAATATGTAATATAATAATGATGAAAAAATCCCTAACATCTCAAACATATCGTGGTAAATTTTGTTTTTCTGATCGCCAGATGAAACAATACATGCTTAATAACAATTTATAATGGCAATATTATTGTCATAATATAGATGCAATACATTAAGCTTTTTGCCGAGAGATGTCAGATTATGCTTCTCTTTGTCTATCAAGACAAAAAGGAGAATCATAATATTATATAACATAATAAAAAAATAATACATTGTTGTGGTCGATTTTGAATTGTACTTAGAAAAGGGCCACTAAAGTAACCGAGACGTTGGTAGTAAATGGTCAATCCAACATATCCGACTTGATTTGGCGACCAGAAGAACATGGAGAAAAATGTCAATTATTATTCAAAATACTCAACCAAATCATTATAATCGTCTGAAGTTGGAATATTTTCCCAAAACCTAAGCCTGCCCTTGGGCATAATGGAAGATAGATTTTTAATAATATTGTCTCGTTTTACAACGGGTATTCCTCTATTTTTGCAATGTGACATTTGATGTTTATTCTTGGATATTGAGACTTTAAGAAAACTCAGCTAAAGCTACTCTCGACAAAATCGGATTTATATTCCATGCAGTTTAGCAACAAGTTCTACAATATCAGACATATAAACACTAGGTTTCATTCTATTTAGAACAGCACTATCAACTTGACGACAGGTCAGTTACGACTTTCTAAATTTGCATTGTTAGATACGCGCTTATAAGTAACATTCGTCTTACATATTTGCCAATAAATTTTAAGATGTGTTTTGGAGAACTGCATATTCTATTTCTAAGTAGCATTTATCTCTTGAGCCTTTTTAAGTTAAAAACTTCAATCATTACGTCATAATGTCAAAAACGTATGTGCATTTTGGAGCATTTACATTGTAGATACGATTTTTTTGACACAGGAATGAATTCAGCGTAGTCTAAATACTAGGAAAGTATACCTAACTCGGAATTGAAAAAATGTAGATACGCCACTCTTTGCTGCGTCGCCGGAATTACAACGAGAGAAACGAAATCATGGCTGACCACAAGATAAAGAAGCATCTCCATAACTACCATTATCCATAATAATACCATAATAATATTGATAATCAGAGGCATAGTGAAGGGCCCTCGGATCGAAATGTCGTCTTCCTTGACATTAGACAACTCTCCTGGTACTCGAGGCAAATGAGGCCTCCTCGGAATAATGAGGATTCATGGAACAACTGTTCATTCGACCTCTAAAGAATAACGTAAACGAGTTATTTAACCCTGGAATACTAACCATCGTAAATTTTACGACGCTACTGATTTTCTGCTCGCGATTTTATCGTTGCAGTACAACTATTTGCGATGTGCTCTCGTCTATAGTTGTAGTCACCGTTCTTAGCGGTCACGTCATCAACGCCGTATGAAATAAGTAAACAGATCGAGTCTCCGTACCATGGGCGGAGCACTGCGCGGACTAATCTTCAGCGCATCTGAAACTCTCTAGTACGCATGAAGTGGGTAACAAGGGACTGCTGTTTTCATTCTCTTCCTGGAAATACTCTAATAAATTTAGCACGAGCTGTCTCCATTGATCGTATTTCCGTGCATTGTATTATATTGAAGAGTGATAACAAGACAACTCGAATTGCACGCCGATGCCAAGTAAGTTGTCACTCTGACAAATATGATTGAAGGGCATTCATACGTAACGACAAAGTTTTCGAGACGGAGACACAGAACTGAAAAACGAGCTCACGGAACAAACGTTCGCACACAGGGGTAGGTTGCATGTGTATGTATGTTATGAGGGAGATGGAGATATATGTAAAGGGATACTGGTAGCCTTATTTTGACCCGCCAAGAATGGTGACTACAACCTATAGTCTTCTGTTCAGCCAGTGTGATCACAGTTCTGTGGTGGTACCGTCTGCGAAAGAGTTCGATATCCAGTGTGTTAGTTGAAGAGCGGCGTCGTAATTTTTACGAAGGTTAGGATTAACGGATTGAAAATTAAGATTACTATTCCAGGGTTAACGTCAATACAGGAAGTAAATATTCTCCGTACATTATGCGGGAAGTAACATTCAGGTATAGGACCGTAAGACCGTTGCTCTTGTCGCTCGACATCAACAAAGCTTCTGGTCCGGACTTGATTCCTGCCGTTGTATTGGAGAGGTGTGCAGCGCAGCTTGCCCCAGTTCTCTCTCTTCTTCTCTAACAGATAGTCCCGGGATCCTTGACGCACCGGGGTCCCTCGGCGACCTTGCTCTCTTTTATAGCTGTACCAATGGGCTTTGCTCCTCAGAGCTCCCCTTCATGATGCCGCCGCGCGATGTGCCTGCCAGACAGATCCGCCTGACTTCCGAATCCCATCGTAACCGTGTCGAACTTCATCCATCCCGAACTGGCCGTTCCTTTGTACCTAGGGTGTCGAGATTGTGGAAAATATTCAAGAAGAGGCTTTTCCCAGGTCCACTAACTTTAGGAAGTTCAAAAATCAGATAAACAAAGGTTCTTTGAAATCCTCAAAGCGGCTGCGGTTGGCTTCAGCTGCTTCGGTGTAAAAAAATTAATGTCAAATTAGTCAGTCATCTATATATATATATTTTTTTCTCTTTACAGCCATACATCCTACCTGATGAGCTAAGGCGTGAATTGCCTCCTGATCAAGCGGAGTACTGTATCCAACGCATGCCACCATACAAGGGCCCTAATGCAGTGCCTGGAGCTCTGGATTACATGTCTTTCTCGACAGCTCTGTACGGCGAGTCAGACCTGTAGACGGTCACGTAGGACTGTCATAACATCATTTGTAACCGCGGTGATAATTTCAGCCATATTGGGGGTAACTAGCAAGCTGCCCTTTTTGTTTAGATAATATTTTCTCGTACTCTTACTACGGTGTGGGTAAGTTACAGTGCATGCACCATGGTGGTCTTCAGGAAGTGTACTTTTTGGCGACTTCTTCTTTCGCAGAAGTTGAAATAGTACACAAAATGGTAATGAAAATTCACGGTTTCTAAAATGAGCTTATTGTACCTTTTTGCTCACCTCGGATCATGTTGGTGATCCATTATAAGTGCTTTTACACAAGACTGAAAAAGGAGGATTGGAAATATTTTAAAATTGGAAACTACGTTTTCATGGTTCAAGACAAAATGCAAAATTAAACTGTAGGCACCAATTCTGGTACTTTATACTAAAGCAATGAAGGCATATAATCCTGAAATAGTGTCAAGTTGCTTTCACAATCGTTATGCAATTGTCATTCCTTGTTTACTCCAACCGCAAAAAACCAATGAGTTTAGAGAATACGTGTACATATATAACAAGCAAACTGAATATGACAAAATATCAATCACTTCAACGGGTTAAACACGCATTTTTTGAAACCCCTATGAGTGAATATACTGTATTTTTACCCATTCTGTGTTCTTACCACCCTTTGTAAATTACGTGAAATTCCGGACATATCACACTTGTAGGGCTCAAACATGACCTCAAATGACAAAATTTTGATAAGTCTTTGGCAACAAAGATTGTGTTATCAAAAAACAATGAATACTATAAAACTATTTGGCGTGTGAGATTTTGAGGTTATGTTCGTGCTCTATTGTCTTAGCTTGCCAAAATATAACGACAACTTGGAGTGAATTCAAGTTGAATCTTCGAATATACACATAATAAATTTTATTTTTTAAATATATATCGTATGATTGTAATGTTGATTTAAAATTTTGCTTGAAATTCTCGAATATTTTTATTTTTAATTTATTACGTACTTCTTTTGCAAGTGCTCAGATTTATTTATTTATGATTAAGGCTTGGCGTGTACAGTTTATTCTAAGTAAATGCTCTTTATTGCCTTTTAAATTGTAAGGTAATGTTTGGTTAGAGTTCGAATTGTAATAAAGAGCCTTTATCGTTGTATTGTATATTTTTTTCTTTATTTTTGGTTGGAGTTATGTAAAAATACCTACACGATTCTCTTTTTGTCCAAAGTATACTAACTTATATAAGTGATGACAGAAATAAAATATATTAGATTTAAATTTTATTTATTTCATATTATTTATGTAAGTATACACGGCCTATTGCTGTGGAATATTCAGTTGCTATGAATGTTAAAACTTTATATTTCATAATAATTATTATGGCTATATGAGTATATACACCATTTTAAATAAATGTATCGTGTTTCATTCTGCATTTCCGCAACTCTGCATGTGAAACTATTTCACAAAATCGGGTAGTGGACGGCTGAATTCCTACACCAGAACACCGGAAATACCACCAAGTCAACTTCAGCTCTCGTATTTATTGTCGGCAGAAATTATAAAAATGACCTTTAACGAGATGGAGAGTAGAGTACGATTTTCTACCCGCAAAATTATTAGACCAGGAGAAGTGTATTACTAAAAATGAAATTTGATACTTTAAGAACTGCTATAAAATTATTATTCTAAATATGAAAAACGTAATAATTTACTTTATCAAGATATAGTTAATTTTTAGTTGACCATAAAAAGAAACTGTAACAATCCGTTAGCTTATTCTCTAGTCCCAAATAATGGTTTTATTTTGAGCGTACACATGTTTGAATTGTGAATTGTCTCGCTGTTTAGGATCGATTTCGGATCGGTTCTTCTAGGTCGAAATGACAACATTGCAGCATTAGCTCGCTTGGCAACACCACATCTCGTACACTCGAAGGCAAGGTTTCCACCTCCATGATCATAGATGAGCGATATTGGTCAGTAACCATTTAGCTCACACTGGGGAGTGTCGTCCTACTTCGAAATGTTTTTCACCTTACATTTTCCAACCGCTCCCAATCGCAACACGTAATAATAACTCAGGATGTGTTTATTTTATCAACATCGGTGGAAATCAAAGATAATTCTGAAATAAATTAAGCACTATGTTGATATCTGAGTTCATATAGCAGAAAAATTATCTATAATACCATCATTCTTCCAAATTTCTTGTACTGTTCGACTATTCTATATTTAGCAAATAATTCCATTTTTGAAAGACTGCAAATTTTACAAAATAAGTGCATGAGAATAATACTGAATAAAGATAAATATACTCCAATTAGGCAAATGCTTAGCAAATTATAATGGCTCAATGTAAAAAAATTTATCAAATATCTTGTAATGATATTCATTTATAAAGTAAAAAATAATATATTTCCATCAAGTCTAACTAATTTAACATCATCAAATGTCGACCATCATTTACATAATACCAGAAATAAAGATGACTTCCATTTAATGACCAAAAAGTATAACATATGCTACAAATCTATTCCAACAAGGGTTGATTGAATATAATAAATTATACTCGGAGATAAAAGACCAGAAAACTTTGACAAAATTTAAAGTAAAATTGAGAAATCACTTGTTAAATCTACAATTATAGGTTGCCCAGCATTTACATCATACACCATATGGCTTGAATTTACTAGTTCTAAGTTGTTTACAATTGTTCTGTTTATGTAGCCAAATGTGCTAAATAAATCTTACTACTACTACTACTAAGTCGCATCAAAATTAAAATAAATAATTCTAATCAAAATATTAAATTAAATGTTCGAACAGACCATCTTGGGTTTGACAGTAACCTAACCTATTGTATAATCCTGTGAGAAGAGTTTCCGAGATATTGGCAGTGCGGCAGATTGCACGACCTGCGTCACCGATGCTAGGCAATGTGGTGATGACCGGCTTCTATCTTGTTCTAACGTGTGATGATACACACTTCTCGTGCTTCTCTCCCGTACACATCGAAGTCAAGCCGTCAGACAAATTTGGTTTTCCCTGTATACCAGCAGAAGTTACGGCAATGCTATTCGACCCCGAAACTTGACGGCTAGAGTACCAGTGGTGCTTTGACAGGGTTGCCATGTTCGGGATTTTCCCCCAAATTTAGGGAATTTTTACGTGGAGGGGAATTTTTTGGGCAAATTTAACATTGCGCGGTTAGAAAGCATCCCCCGCTCTTTGAACCAAACTTGCGCCTATCCATTAATTAACTGTGATTTGAGGGATTTTTTTGTAAAAGTAGCAATTCTGAGGGATTATTGCGCTTGTTCTGGGGACATTCAGTCCGATCGATCTGGCAACGCTGTGTTTTGACATATCCGCCATATGAACACTTTCCTAAGATCCGGCTGCTTGAATCTGCAGGTATGTTTTTTTTATCAAACCTGATTTTAGTGTCAAGTTCTGGGATCGTTTGTTTTTCATTTCGCCGATTCTCTTGGTATATAGGCTCCATGAGCACTATTCGTTACAAATCCGTAAGAAGATTCGGGAAATCGTGGTCGTGAACACCATAATTATGTCGAGCTATACAATAATACATAGGCTACCTCTAGTGGGTAGCTTTAAATGCTAAAGGACGTTGGTAAGGATACATTTTCTATGCATTCCCAATAGATCAATAATACCTACTTAAAAATTCTATTGTGTATTGTCAGGGTGGCAAAAGTGCAGCCAATAAAGGCTAGGGATAGAATAGAGTAGAAGGTGAAGCTAAAACTCTCTCGTATGTACATTGCACAGAAAACAAATCTCTCTGTTGCTGTCATGAACGTCAACAACTCCATTTTGATACTTGTAAGCATAAATATTGCTTAATATTAATAGCCCAACAAAACATGGCAAAACGCAAGTGAAATGAAAAACCTTGGGAATAAAGACTGCGATGTATGTGATAATTATTTTCCCATCATTTTTGAATGGCTTCTTAGGCAGATGACGTGATAATATGCGGTAGTTTTTCACGTCGAATTTGAAAAATGGTTCAAGACTTTCCCATGACAAGAAATTGTAAGAGGACGAGCACGTGGTCATGAAAAATGGATTAATAGGCCAGATGATAAGATTATATATTTTTCGCTTCTATAAAAATTTGCCTACTATCCCTTTTTCTATAAAATAAAAATTTCCTACAAAAAGGTCGTTTACGTTTTTTCGCCACGTTGATGGTTCTTGAAATATAAAATTCTAGCAAAGCGTACTTCGCACGCTCGTACGTTGTCCACGTGACAAAATGTTTTCATATTGGGTTCACGCCATAAATCATTTTACTGCCACGCGTACGTATGGGAAATGAATTATTTTCGGGTAATGTCTGATGTCTTCTTTAGGAAAATGCGAGTCACTGACTCCCACCAGTCGGTCTATTGGCCATTTCTTTGTAATGATTTTAATGGAAAGAGAGTGCTGTCAGAAACCACCCTGATCTACTACATATCCACTTGTGTTGAGATCGCTGTAATGGTTACTGAAATTATGCAGTGACAAAATCGCCAATAGACAAAACTGATGTAAGTGATAGACTCGATGTTCGTAATGAAAACATCACAATATATCAAAAAGATTTGGAAGCAGTCACGCGTTCACATAAAAGTTATCCCGTTATCCCTTGTCGATAGACGGCACTCCCCCTACCCTTGAGAAAAATTTCGGGCGCATATGATCGAAACCATGTGTACATCAAGCGAGGATGACGACCAGTCCAGCAGCAGAGGCTAAAACCGCTACCTACTTGTAGTATAAGCAGGACCGCGAGTCTAAGTTTTATACAAGGATAAATGAAAGGGGAAATCTATGATGAGTGAAATATCCCCTCTACAAACCAAGCCCCACCCACCCGATTTTTCACCTCTTAAAATGTTTTTTAAAAAATGACCAGGATCCTCTGAAAAGTCAAGAACGAATTCTGAGAATCTTTATTTTTCTACGTTTTGCCCCTAGATCCGCCACCACTGGATTAGTTTCCAAAAACTAAAAGATCTTTCGTCATTAGTATATATAGTAACCTTTTGTGAACATTTCATCAAAATTCGAACGGTACTTTACTAAATCAGTGTCATATGGCTTTTCGTGATGTAACATGCTATATAAAAACTACTTCACCTTCTGCCCCCCAGGGTCATCCCCTTATAAATTTTAAATGAACAGGGGTATCGAGTAATAGCTTGTTTGGAAGGTCTTTAGAAGTCATTTATTTTGACGTTTGATTTTTTTAAATCGGTCGATTCGTTTTCAAGAAAGTTAGAAAAACCTTTATTTATCTTAATTTGTTCAGATAGAAAACAAAAACACACGAAAATATCACTTTTTATTCCAAGAAGTGTTCAAAATGTTGCCCGTTAGGGCTTTCAGTATCTACAATTCGTTTATAATTTAAAACGGAAACTACCAACATAAACAGCAATTCGGAAGATTAGACGCAGCAACAACCAAGTAACAACCCGAATTTTTTCCGCATTCTCTCATCAACATAGATATCCTGGGCGAACTGCATTATTATTATACCTATTTAGTTATTTGTTGCTAAGGGTAAGAAATAATCCAATTTGCTGTCAGTTACCTTTGTGACAAGGTTGGGATAGTGAAAATTAATTTATTGATTTAGATTTTACTTCCAAAATCGTTTACGCACTAGCCGAAAGAATGGAAAGTATTCTAATTTAAGGTGCTCAAAATCAATGTACTCGGCAAACTGCCGTCACCAAATTTGCTCAAACTGGATCTGTTGCAAATAAAAAACGTTATCATCGGAGAGTTTTGGATGAAGCCGTTCAAGTGGAAGTTGAGGTTTTGGAATAAATCCTAATATTTCATTACGCAAAATAGTTGTTGTGACTGGTATTTTATTAGGCTCTGTACACACAGTTACTAAACTCCATAAATTTTATTCATTCAAAATGAAAATATTGTGTGAGTTAACCGAAGATGATTTCGATAGGCGAGTTGAGTTTTGTGAACAAATGACCGCAGCGACTAATGATGTAAATGTAAAGAGAAACTACTTCAGTGATGAATGCACATTTTATCTAAATGGATTTGTTAATAAGCATAACTGCAGGTATTGGAGCAATGAAAATCCTCATGCTTTTGTAGAAGGGCACACCCAAAAAATGTATGTATGGACAGGCACTTTGGGAAACAAAGTGATTGGGCCATTGTTTATTGAGAATTTGAATTGAGACATTTATTTGGATATGTTGGAAAATACCATCAATCCGCTTATCCGCTTAACCAAACCGAAGTGGTAGGAAACCCTATACTTGATGAGGCTAAAATATATTTCCAACAAAACGACGCTCCTCCTCACTATGTTCTTCCGGTTCGGCAATGGCTAGACGACGAGTTTCCAGATAAATGGATAGGGCGAAGAGGGCGTATAGAATGGCCTGCTAGGTTTCCTGATTTGACGCCATTAGATTTTTTTCAGAGGGGGCCATTTGAAATCTATTCTGCTTACTCCCCAACCTGAAAGTTTGGATCATCGAAAGCTGCCATGATATCTCACAACATATTTTTGAAAATGTCGATCCTCGATGCCCCTTGTCTTTAAAAATTGTAAAGGGATAACCCTGGTGGGCAGAGGGTGAAAGGGGGTGAAGCAGTTTTTGGCCAAAAAGTTGTCCCGCTTGACAAATCTTTTGACGTGTCTCGGCGTTTTTTCTTTTAATCA